GGGTCACCCACCTGTTGCTGGGTTAGGGACACCTTCCCCCCCACCCCCCGGGAGGCTGCGGTCGGCAGCGGGGCAGCGGCGGGCGCTGGGTCCGTGGGGTCAGAGGTTCCCGCAGGTTCCCGGGGCCGTGGCCGCAGGGCGGGGGCCGCTTCACATTCCTGGGCGCCCGGCCGCGCTTCCGTCCCCAGGTCACCTCCCAGCGCCGGCGCCGCCGACCGCAGACCGCAGGCCGGGCAGGGCTCCAGGCCCCGGAGCGGGGGAGAGCACTGGGGCGCCCCTCAGGGAGATGCCCCCAACCCCTCCCAGCCTCCTGGTGCCTGGAAGGGCGGCCGCGGCTCCCCAGGGGTGTAATGCCAGGGTGCCCCAGTCGGGGGAGCCAGCGAGGCCAAGGCTTGTGTAGTGAGCAGAGGGGGGACCCCTGTGACTGCCCCCTCAGCTGGGGTAACAGCACCCCACCAGGCAGGCCCTGGCTCTTCACCCCTGGGTGTCAGGTGTCAGGGGCTGGGCCGCAGCAGGCGGGGGGCTCCGACGGCCACTCCCGCGAATCCCGCAAGCTCAGCCCCAGCCAGAGGCAGCCGAGCGCCCGCAGAGGCTGCAGGTCTTTATGGGATGTGGGGGTGCTGTCTCGGGGAGTCACAGGCCGGCAGAACTCATCCTTTCGCTCGTAGTTTGTGTTGAGAGACTGGCTGGGATTACAGGGGCGCAGTGCTACACTCACCAGCTCTCCCTTTCTCATTTCCAGGGACTCAGGAGGCCATGTCCCCGAGAGGTGAGTGGCCTTTGCTGAGATGCAGGCCAGGGCCGTGTGCGCAGCCCACGGGGGAAGACTAGAAAGTGCCCAGGGGAAGCAGAGCGGAGCTGGAGCCTAGGAAAAGTGGAAGGGCGTGGAGCGCCGTCCTGGCGGGACAGGGCTCTGTGGGAGCGCGGGCCGGCATCAGGGGCCGCCGGGGCCGGGGTGAGGGTCGGGTCGGGGTGGGGGCCCGGCGCACCCCGGTGAGGCCTTCCTCGCTCCCCAGCCTGCGGACGCCCCAGGATGCGGAGCCGGATGGTGGGCGGGCGGGACGCCCTGGAGCGGGAGTGGCCGTGGCAAGCGAGCATCCAGCGTGACGGCAGCCACTTCTGCGGCGGCAGCCTGCTCTCGCCGCGGTGGGTGCTCACCGCCGCCCACTGCTTCTCCAAGTGAGTCCGCCCCGCCCCACCACGCCCCTTCAGCACCCCGGACAGCGGCCGCACTCCGGGCCAGGGCGCCCTTTCCACCCCAGCCCAGCCACTGCCCAGCCCTGCAGTCCCCCAAGCCCGAGGCACAGCGCAGCGGGCTCAGAACCGGGGTGTCCCCTACCCCAGCACTGAAGCCAGCCTTGAGCAAGGGGCCGGCCCCCACAAAGACTCCTGGGGTCCCCATGCACCTCCCCTCCTGCCCCACCAGAGCTGAAGTTCTAAAAAGGACACAGGGGCCGGGAAGGGGGCTCCATGGTGGAATGCTCGCCTTGCATGCATGAGGGCCTGGGTTCGATTCCTCAGCCCCCCACACACAGAAAAAGCCAGGAGTGGTGCTGTGGCTCAAGTGGCAGAGTGTGAGCCTTGAGCAAAAGGAGCTCAGGGACAGCGCCCAGGCCCTGAGTTCAAGCCCCGGGACTTACAGCTAGGGTGGGCGGCCCGTGCAAGGGGCAGGCCGGCGGAGCCTCCTGCACCCCGCAGGTGGTCGGCGTCTCCCCAGCTTCTCCCCCCCCCCGTCCCTTCCCGGCTGGGCTCGAGGTGTGAGGCAGTGTGGTGGGCTGGGGGACCCCCGGCAGCAGGATAGGGTGCCCACGCTGCGTTCTGCTCTCCCCGCCAGCACCTCGGACACAGCCCCATACAGAGTCCTGCTCGGGGCCCGCCAGCTGCTGCGGCCAGGGCCCCGCGCCGTGTACGCCCGCGTGCGGCGCGTGGAGAGCAACCCGCTGTACCGTGGCATGGCCTCCAGCGCCGACGTGGCCCTGGTGGAGCTGGAGGCGCCCGTGGCCTTCTCCGACCACATCCTCCCCGTGTGCCTGCCCGACCCGTCGGTCAGCTTCGCGCCCGGCATGAGCTGCTGGGTCACCGGCTGGGGCAGCCCCAGCGAGCAGGGTGAGGACATACCGGCAGGTCTGGGGCACAGCCCGGCCCGGTGACCGAGTTCCAGGCCGGCGTGGGGAGCAAAACAAAACGAACAGGGGGAAGCAGGTGGGGTGGGTGGTCTAGCTCAAGTTGGGGTTGCGCCAGGGGAGCACGGGCCCTGGGCTCCGCCGCCCGCTGCTGATACATAAATGAGGAAATAAGGCAGGCCCAGGCGGCGAGGACCATCTCTTCCCAAGGTCACGGACAGGAGACGCCTTCCTCTTCATACAGACCGGCCGGGGAGGGGGGAAGGGGCGGCTGCCCAGAAGGAAGAGCCACAGAGATGGGGGGACAGACAGACAGACAGAGCAGGCTGAGGCGGGGTGGAGCGGGGGCTCCAGCTGAGCAGCCCCCTCCCGACACCCCCAGACCGCCTGCCCAGCCCTCGGACCCTGCAAAAGCTCTCGGTGCCCCTCATTGACACGCCCAAGTGCAACCTGCTCTACCGCACAGACGCGGAGCCCGACTCGCAGCCCAAGGCCATCCAGGACGACATGCTATGCGCCGGCTTTGCCGAGGGCAAGAAGGACGCCTGCAAGGTAGGCCAGGCGCCCAGCGTCGGCCAGGCCTGCGCTCGACCCGTGGCAGGAGGCCCCAGGGCACGCAGGCGGGCCAGGCGGGCAGCTGGGAGCACCCTGGGTGGAGGTGGCCCCGACCCGGGTGTGTCCAGCGTGGGCTGACGGGTTCTGCTGCCCCCGCAGGGCGACTCCGGGGGCCCCCTGGTGTGCCGCGTGGGCCAGTCGTGGGTGCAGGCCGGGGTGATCAGCTGGGGCGAGGGCTGTGCCCGTCCCAACCGGCCGGGCGTCTACATCCGGGTGACCTCCCACCTCCGCTGGATCCGGCACATCATCCCCGAGCTGCAGTTCCAGGGCCGGGCGGGCGGCCGGCGGCGCGACCCTCGGGGTGAGCAGCCCCCTGGGGACGCGCCCGCGCTGCTCCCCATCTTCTGAGCCTGGAGCCCCTTCCGCAGTGTACATGTGTAAATAGTCCTTCGCGCTCCCTTCAAACACCCAGTTGTTTTTATTTCCATTCACCTCCAATAAAAAGTGCCGGCTGCTCAGCGGGGATCACTGGAGAGCTGGCCGAGGGAGGGGTAGATTTCCCAGCGCGGGGAGGCAGGACACACAGGCGGGAACATCACCGGCCCCAGGGGCTGAGGGCTCCCGGGGCTGCGGGGAGGATGCCCAGAGCCATGCGGAGGCCAGCCTCCTCCCTGGCCGACTCCAGGCACCACTCAGCCTTTTCCAGCCAAGTCAGCATAACTTGGGGTGCAGGGCACTGTGCCCCCTCCCTCCAGGGCAACCCGTGGGCTAGGAATCTGAAACAATGGGTGGAGAGGGGGGGAGCCAGGGACACCTGTGCCCACATGTGCCCCTGGGGAGGCTGCTTAATCACAAATCACACCTGCGGGGCCCACCCTCGAGGGCTCCGCCGTCCTCTGGCTACTCGGCCATGGCTATGCCCTGGGGCTTCCCCAGATCAGGGTGGGCGCCGGCCCAGGAGGGGCCCCAGCTTCTTTCCGCTGGTGGCTGGGCTTCCAAGGGAAGCTGCTCACCACAGGCGGGCAGCTTGGCAGACAGAAAAAGCTCCCCGGAGATTGGGGTGGAGAAGAGAAGTGGGTAGAAGTGGAGGTGTGGTTCAAATGGTACACCAGGAAAAAAGGGAAGGAGAGAGGGAGGGAGGGAGGGAGGAAGGGAGGATGGATTTACTTTGTGCAGTTAACAGGAAATGCAGCTGGGTGCTGGTGGCTCACGCCTGTAATCCTAGCTACTCAGGAGGCTGAGATCTGAGGATCATGGTTCAAAGCCAGCCCGGGCCTTTATCTTCAATAAACTACCAGAAAACCAGAAGTAGCACTGTGGCTCAAGTGGTAGAGTGTTGGCCTATGAGCTCAGGGACAGTGCCTGGGCTCAGAGTTCAAACTCCATAACTGCAAAAGAAGAAAAAAGAAAAAAAAAAGAAAAAAAAGCCAACCCTCTTCCTCCCCCCAGCCTCCCCCCCCCCGGAAATTCCCTGTGTTTCCGGCCCCCCACTGTGCCAGCCCGGCCAGCAGGCAGCTGAGGGAGCGCGGGGGGAGCCGGGTGCAGAGCAGGGCGGTGGTGTCCTCCCTGCGGCTCACGGGAAGTCCACCAGAGTGCTGCTGCAGAAAGTCCCACGAGGGGAACAGTGGGTGGAGGACCCTCTGCACCCAAGAGCCCGTGAGGGTGAGTCCCAGGCCCAGGAGCCTGCCTGGACGCCGCCGCCTAATACTCAGATGCACGAGGACATGGTGGAGACAAAAGCCACATGGACACCTGTGGGCCGCCTGGGAAGCTGGCTCTGCAGAAAGGTGCTGGAGGCGCTGAGGAGGGACCTTTACTCCCCACTGGCATCGGGGCAGGGCCTGGGCCATGTGGCACCCTGCAAGGCGCCAGCAGTGGGAAACCCAACCCCAGACCTGCACGGTCCCGGCCCTGGCCCCCGCCCCAGCCTCTCTCCTGCCACACCTGTGCACTGGATGCCCTGACGCCGCCCCCAGAGCCCTGCCCCTGGCGCCCCTCCGGGCCGGCAGCAGGCAGGTCCCCGGGGCCCGGCCTGCACGGCCCGTCTGCCTCCTAGCCTCCCCTGCAGACGGGACAGGTGTCTGGGACACCCGCTGCACTGAGGCCTCTCCCACAGGTCCCTAGGAGGCGTCCAGGTGGAAGGGGTGAGCGCGATTTAACCTTAACCGTGCTACTGAAACCCACTGCAACTGTCGAGGGGAAAGGGGGAAGGGCCAAGCGGAACAATGCGGACGGGGCGAATGTAATCAAAGGACATCATATACACGCACAGCTTGCACAACTACTTTATGACAAAAAAATTAAAAATGACAGTTCCTGGACTCATTCATAAATACACAATTTTATTTGCTATTTTCAGGGGAAACTTAGGCATTGAACAGTAAGCTGATAAAATACGGATACCTAAAAAAGTATAAAAGTATAAATATCCCCTTTGAACAAATTTTAGTGAATTAAGTCTTAATATCTTTAAATTAAAAAAAAATCCCACAAGCCTATCTAGGATGTCAAGGTCATAAATCAAACAATGCTAAGCACACAGCAGCTCCCCAAAGGGCACCCCCACGGCCGGCAGGGGCCCTGGGGCGCCCCCAGCTCCTGCTGGTGGCTGACGCCCCCCACCCCGGTACAAGGTTTTCATAAACTGTTTAAGCCAAACATTTAACGACATACAAGAGACCTTACGAGGGGGGAGGGGTACACCCGAGGTGCTGGAGAACACGGTTAATCAGGTTACTGGCAAAGGAGAAGAGGAAGAGGGCCCCCGGCGAGGAGCTTCTGGAGGCATTGGAACGGACAGGGTCCCGGCAGCCCCCTCCCCGGGACCGGAGGCGAGGCGCAGAGCTCCCGGGGCCTGGGAGGAGCCCACGGGGTGGGCTGTGGAGCCCAGCTGCTCCACGTCGTGTCGGTGAGCAGCCCCGATGGGCGCCGCGTCACCGCTGAGTGCCCAAGGCCCAGAAATAGAGAGAACTGCATAGTTGTAGGAGGAGGTGAGGGCCGGTGGAAGAGACGCGATGCACTGTAAACATCCTCAAGTTTCGACGTGACCCCGAGAGCAGGCCCCGGAGCCGGTGGACAGGCCTCCCGCCCCAGCGTCCACCCCGGCGCCACGAAGGCACTGGTGGGCGCCAGCCCCCCTCCGAGCCCGCGGGCAGGACAGACAGGGTGCCGCGGCCACCTCTGTGAAGTGAGCTAACAGAGACCGTTCAGGCCTTTCTAGAGTATAAACGCGGGTGGGCTGTCCACACCGGAAAAAAGGGGATGCAAAGTTCTCTCGCCTGGAAAATACACATCAGAAGCCTTGATACACCGCAGCCCCCGAGGCCAGAGGCAGAGGCCCGGCCCCAGGGGGGTCGTGATCACGCCTGGAGGCTGGGGAGCTCCCTGACCCGAGATCAAGGGCTGGGCGCTCGGTGTGAGCCCCGAGCCGGTGTGCCCACAGCAGGCACGGCGGCGCCCCTCCCCGGCCGAGGCCCAGGCTGTGTTTGTAGCACCAAGAACCCTGTCCTTCAAACAGTTTCAGGCCTGCACCAGCGGGCCGGGGCTCCCCGCCTCAGTCCCACATGGCACTCAGAAAGAACAGCGTGAGCCCCAGAGATGGCCCACACCGGCCCCGGCCTCCCCCCCGCGGGGATGCCGGGGCTCCGACAGCTGGGCTGTCTCTCACCACCCACCTGCGAGGTAAAAAGGATCCGCACCCAGATCTCGAGAGAAATGATCAAAAGCAGGTTTCTCCTCACAGCCACGCCTCCCGACGTGGCGGCTCACGCTCTGTGGGAAAAGGAAATGGTCTCCTCGGCTGTCAGCGCCGCCTCACATCCTGGAGCCCCGTTCTTGCAAAATCTGAAACAAGCCAAATGCACAGTGTGAGGACTCGGGCAAGGAGGCGCCTGATTGGAGGGCAGAGCCCGCGCCCCAGGCCCACACCCCTAGTTTCCACTGGAGCTCCCCCCAACCCCAGGGCCCCCGCGGCAGGCTGGGAGACACCGGCAGTGGCGGCTGCCAAGTGCCGCTGCTTCAGCCCCAGCAAGCCCGGGCCGCTGAAGACAGAAAAGGGAGAAGACGCGGACGCAGGAGCACCTCGGGCTGGGGAGGATGAGTAACCTGGCGGGTGGCCCCAGCTGTGAGCCCCGCAGATGTGGGGGGCCCCCAGGTGCCAGCTGCTCCTATCCATCCAACACCCCGGGCCCTGCCCACCCCAGGTGCCGAGGGGACAACACGGCCCACCTCGGGCGATCCTGGGCGTGAGTGGCTGAGGGCCGGCCCCGGCAGGTGGCACCTGTGCCCCGTGCCCCAGGAACAGCCGGACACACCAGAGGGGGGTGAAGACAGCCTTGTCCACTCCACCAGAGGCCCAGAAGGACACAGCTCCATCCTGGCGGGGCAGAGCCAGGGTGGCTTCCTGCGTACCCCACTGTCCTCCTGTAAGTCAGGCCCTACAGCGGGCGTGACCTCCATGGCTCTGAAAGAAGCTGCCCCCCACTCCCCACCCCACGCGATGCTGGCCAGCCTCCAGTCGGCCCAGCAGCTGGGGCTCCCAGAGGCCGGAGCTAGGCACCCGTCACTGCCCACGCCTCGGGCAGGGGACAGCGCGCCTGCAGCCCAGGAGGCCATGGAGCCCAGAGCACAAGCCCACATCAGGATCCACGCTTGCGCCCAGGCTGAGCCTGATGCTGGGGCTCTGTATAACATTAATGAGCAGCTGAGCACCAGCGCCTCACACGCGATCCCAGCTGAGATCTGTATAACATTAATGAGCAGCTGGGCACCAGCGCCTCACACGCGATCCCAGCTACTCAGAAGGCTGAGATCTGAGGATCATGGCTCAAAGCCAGCCTGGGTGGCCCCAGCAAAGTCTGTGAGACTCTTATTTCCAATTATCCACCCAAAAAAACCCCCAGAAGTGGTGGCGCTGTGGCCCAAGTGGTAGAGCGCTCACCTTGAGCAAAAGAGCTCAGGGACAGTGTCCAAGCCATGAGTGTGCATTCAAGCCCCATGAGAGATTTAAAAAAAAAACAAAAGTAGCACTTTATATATCAGTATTATTTACATTTCCTTCTTTATGGGGAGAGTGTTTGAGACAGGGTGGTATATGTAGCCCAGGCTGGCCTTGAACCTGTGATCCTCCTGCCTCCCCAGTGTGGAGGGACAGGTGAGGGCCACCTGGCTGTCTAACGTGGCCTGGTGATGAATTCTCCCGCAGGGGCAATGTCCCCTGGCTCCGCACAGCGCGTGATAAACACTGCGGGTCCAGAGACAAATCCCATACTCACAGTGACCTCAAGGTACAACTGGTGGAGGGAAAGGCCTCTCGGCTGGAGGGCTGGGCAGGAGGGGACTGGCCCAGGCTGCGGCTGGGTGTGGCGGGGGCAGTGGAGAAGGCACCCAGACTGTGTGGCCAGCCTGAGAGGCAGGGACCCCGTGGGGTGCCTCCGGCTCCCCACACACAGACAGATGCCAGGAGGGACCCACATGTGGGACCACGCCCTGGACGTGGCCAAGGTGGCCCAGGGCCCAGGAGGCGAGCGCACGTGGGAGCCTGAGGCGGCCCGCTGGAGGGATGGCAGGTCGCCTGCCAGAGGCCGGCCGCAGCCCGCACTCACTGCCTGGCCCGTGGCTACTCTCGGGTCACCGGGGCCTATGGTCTGACCCCAGCCCTCCTGCCCCAGTGCTGTCCAGGGAAGGCCACTCCGGCAGGCCCCCTCCCCGCAGGCAGCTCTAATCACATCTAGGAGGCTCTGTCAGCTACAGGCAGGACAGGTACACCGGAGGAGGCAGGAGTGAGGGACAGCGGGTCACAGGTCAAGGAGACGGAGATCGTGGGAGGAGCTAAGGGCCACGGAGCTCACCATGACACACAACTTAATCTGAGTCACTGCTCTGGCGCCCCGTGTCCTCGTCGTCACTCTGGTGTGGCGGGCAGCGAGCCGAAGGGAGAAGAAGACAGGGCCGTCAGCCACGCTCCGAGTGCCGGGCGCCCGACACGCAGGGCACACACATGGACAGGCTTCAGTGTGAAAAGATGGCCGTGACCACAGCCCATGGGACACAGCTCTGAGAGGCTTCCTACCCTAACAAGCGCAGCCCTGGGCAGGGCAGGGCAGGGCAGGGCGCGGCGAGCGGCAGAGTACCCATCCAGCAAGCACGAGGCTCTGAGTGTAAATCCCAGTGTGACCAAATGAAGGAATGAATGAGAACACCCCCTAGCCCCAAACTCCTCCCTTCTTTGGTGGGTAACTGGCAGGAATGGAATCTGCAGCCCTGTCCCGGCGGGCTGCAGCAGCCGCTCCATCCAGAAGCTTCTGCAGCTGTCCTACTTCGGAGCCAGGTATTTTTGGAAAGGGAAATGGGGCCACATTTTCAACAGCAAAGGGACTGAGGGTCACGTGGGGGCCCTTGGGCAGCTGAAGGGCCACAGAGGGAGACGGGCCCCGTTGACATTCTGCGTGAAAACCATGAATTCAGAAATAGAAGGCTTCTAAAAATAAAGCCATTTGTAAGAGTCCCTCCACTGCTGGCTGCTCGAGGCGCGGGCCTGCAGGAGCCTCACCCCGGCTGGCTCCGCAGCTGATCTCGCCCATCTGCAGCCTGGCTTCCCCCCAGGCGCCCGAGCCCCAGCACAGGAGTGTGTGTGCGCGCGTGTGCGTGTGTCACGCACAGGCTCAGCGGTGAGGGCCTCTCGGTGGCCGAGCCCTGGCCTGAGGACCAGGAAAGGCTCCGGGGATGGCTACTGGACACTGCCAGGGCCACTGGTCAAGGGCTGGGTCGCCAGAGTCCCTGGTCCCAAGTCCTAGGTTAAACACGCCGGTCTGGCCTCTTTCTCAACCCGCGCAACACCCTGGGCCTCCCGAGGGTCAGCAAGCCCTGCCAGCTGCCCAGAGGTCCCGCTCCCTAGGGGACGCGGCTCAGAGGTCTGAGGTGGTCCAGTCTGCCTGGAGCCAGGCCCAAGGTCGCATCAGGGAGGAAGGCCAGCGAAGTCAGGCGCCCTCTGCGCTTAGCCCAGCTCCCCTCCCCTCTGCGACACCCAGGTCCCGTCCCTGGGGTAGGCGGCAGGAGGTCCGTTCCCGCACGCTCCGGCTGAGGCCGGCGGCACGCGGCTCACCGCGGCCGTCCTGAGGCGGAGCCGGCCAGCGGGCTGGAGGACACCCGCGGCAGCAGCCTGCGCTGAGCGTGGAGGACACGGCCGGCCCGAGGCACGGAGCCCCTGAACCAGTCGCCAGGAGCTTCAGGGGCCCGCGAGCCACAGAGGCAGGAGGAAGGGGAGGCCTTTCGAGAGCCAAGCGGCGCGTGCGCGGTGTCGAGGGCTGGGGCACCGGGACCCTCCCCCCAGGGGACCCCCACACCGTGGGCCCTCCCTCCCAGCCACGACACCCTCCCCCTCACCTTGGCCTTCTCACTGGGCTCACTGGTGGTGCCGTACGGGATGTTGTGCAGCTCCTTAGAAACCACGCAGAGGAACTCGGCCTGGTCCTCGTTTCCATAGTTGTAGGAGGAGCCGATGCTGACCAGCTGGGGGAGACGCGGCCTGTGACGCGCAGCCCGCGGAGGGAGGCGCGTGGAGAGCACCCCCCCCCCCCCCCCCAGGAGCTCCTGCACCTGCCTGCACGTAACTTAACTGCCCGACGTGCCAGGACAGGCCCTCCCGGGGGCCCGGAGGGCTCGAGGCTGGGCTCGGCCCAGGGGACACTGACTGCCCCACCCAGGGAGAAGCCACAGTGTCCCTGTGGACTCACACCCGCACCAGCCGCTCCCGGCTCCCGCAGCTGGGGAGTGGCGGGAGCATCCAGGACGGCCAGGGAAGGACCACAGTCTGTGTGACCACCAGCTGCTGGCCACGGTGGCACAGTGTGCCAACCCGGCTGCTGGCCACAGCGGCACAGCGGGCCAACCCGGCTAGTCTCGCTCAGGAAGCCTGCTCCTGGGGGAGGGGGCGCCCCGTGACCTGTCCTGGTCACCCACAACAGGACAGAGCTTAGAGGACTTAGAAGAGCGCTTCCCCATCAGGCCAGAAGTCTCATGACACTAGTGCCAACAAGAACGACCCAGCTCCAAGAGCCAGGATGGCAACAGGGCCCCAGAGAGCCCGGCTGGCAGTGCCACAAGCACCCCCACAGCCTGCTGGGCCCAGGCCCCAAGACCCCGCAACCAGGTGGGCATCAGCGATGCTGAACAGCCTGGCCAGACCCCAGGAGGGCCCAGCCCGCAGGCACCCGCAACCCCATACAACCTCTTCAAGCTGCTGAGAAAACTAGAAAGAAACCCAAATCCCTCACCCAGGGAGGACTTGGTCTCTCAACAGCCACCCCCCCCCCAAACTCCCTACAGCAACTGTGCTGTGGGCCCTGGGACCCAGTCTCTAGGGGCCTCCTCCCACAGCTAGGGCTGAGCCCCGATGCCCGGCCCTGGAGCTCGGGGGGTGGGGAGGCTGAGCGCAGCCAGGACGGGCGCGGGCCTTCACCTGCTCGAACTTCCAGCCGTCGGACATGGTGGAGACCATCTGCGTGAGCTCCTCTTCCTGGCACTGCAGCACGCGGTACACATGCTTCACCGGCATCTGCGCGGGTGGACAAGCACACATGAGGGCAGGCCACACCTGCACCCCACCCTAAACAGCGCTGCGGGTGCCCACACAGGGGCGGGCTCCCCGGAGACCCCCATGGCTCGGTGCTCTGAGCTGCTGGGCGCCATGGTTTCCCTCCAGATAGGCATCTCCTTCTCAATCCCAAAGCACAACAGGCCGCGCCCCTGACCCCCACGGACACTCGGACATCCGTGTCTGCTCCAGGCCAGGCCACATCAGTCTCTCGAGTCTGTCTGGGGAGGACCTCCCACGAAAGCCTGGCCGGCAGGGGTGAGGCGCTGCCCCACGCAGGAAGACCTTTCCACACACAGCCGCCAGACCCGCGCCTGCCCCACAGCGCCTCCTGATACCTCCTGTCCTGAGCGTGGGCAGGCCAGGCCCAGGCCCTGCACGGCGCGGGCCTCCCTGCAACACAGCCGGCACGGCCGTGAGGTGAGGCAGAGGGAAGAGGAAGACAACTGCAAAGCCCAGGGACAGGGAGCGGCCCGGGCCGCCCCACTCCACTAGCAAGGGCTGTGCACAACCCAGGCACGACCCTCCCCTGGCCTGGCCCCTAAGCGCCAGGCCACCGGCGAGCCTCCGCCCAGGACACAGAGGGAGGGAGGGGTGGAGCGGGGCGCTGTGGGCCCAAGTGGTGTGGGGCCAGGCTCACTTCCCAGCATCCTCCTGGAGGAGAGCCCGCTGGGGGCGGCTGGCTACTCCAGGGGTGGGACGGCTGGGTGGCAAGCACACCACTAACGCCACGGTGCCTCCTTCCAGAAGGTGCTGGCCCAGCGCAGGTGCCACCCGGCCACGCGGAAGGCCCCAGGGGCGGGAGGTGCTCTCCTCCCAGCCTCCCGCAGCCCTGCTGGCCATGGGCTCTCTGCAGGTCTAACGCCACAGTGCCTCCTTCCAGAAGGTGCCACACGGTCACGCGGAAGGCCCCAGGGGCGGGAGGTGCTCTCCTCCCAGCCTCCCGCAGCCCTGCTGGCCACGGGCTCTCTGCAGGCCTAGGAGAGGCTTCCTCCCACCCTCTCACAGGGCCTTCCTGCCCCGCATGGCGTTC